GGCTCACTGCAACCTCTGCCTCCTGGGTTCAAGTGATTCTCCTGCCTCAATCTCCCAAGTAGCTGGGATTACAGGCATGTGCCACGACACCCGGCTAATTCTGTATTTTTAGTAGAGACGGGATTTCTCCATGTTGGTCAGGCTGGTCTCGAACTCCCCACCTCAGGTGATACACCCGCCTTGGCCTCTCAAAAGTGCTGGGATTACAGGTGTGAGTCACCATGCCCAGCCTGAACTTCATCTTATACAAGATACCCAGATCCTGCGTGGAGAATGAACCAGGTAGAAGTGCCAACTTCTCTAAAGCAGAATTGAAGGTTTCAGACCATCAGCAGAACAGTATTCAGGAATGATGACCTCTGGTTGAAGGCTTGGTTTGGTCCCATTTTGGCAGGCCCTCAGCTTGGCTGAGAACTATGAGATTAGAACCCTTGAATCAGACAGTCCATATGCCCTGAGCTTATCTGTGTGTTTCCATATTGACCACTTTTCCAAGATACTTATTCTCCACCTTACGTACAATTTGTGACAATATACATATTTTGATTGAAAAATTACTTTTTGAAATGTTATAATATTTTAAGATAGTTATTTGCATGTGTCTTCTTTTAGTACTTCTGGAGAAACACTATAGAGATCAGAGGAACATAAAATAAATTATGTAATCATATTTCCAAAGTACCTTCTAAAAATTAATCCTAACCAGGTTTCATTAAAATCCTTAAAGAGGACAGATAGTTCTCATTTTCCCAATAAGGAATGAAGGGATAAGAGACACTAGACACAATACATAGCATTCAGCAGGAACAGATTCACAGGTAAATGCCAAAGGATTTACTGGCTCAAATGAGGGTTGTTACTGATTCCCTCTTGATATGGGAGGTTCCTTATCAGTAAAGGAAGTGAAAGTACTGTTCTTTTCTACTTGTCTGCATTAGTTGCCGTAAGCCCTGGCTGAGTGGGTGAGAGGTTCATTCCATGGTCAGTTTAGACTATCTAAACTCTTTAAACATTCAGAACATCTCCATTTCCTTTTATTTCTAGCCTTCTACTACTATTATCAGTAACTGGTACCATTGTTTTGTTCTGTACCAGCTCTGATTCTGAAGGCCCAGTGCTAGAAACCAGAGGATATTCTAGCATTTGGTATTTATCACCCAAGGTTACACAAATCAAATCCATTAAAAAGTTGTTTCTTCGTGTTTTTATTTGAGACAGAGTCTCACTCTGTTGCCCAGGCTGAGTGCAGTGGTGTGTGATCTCAGCTCCTTACAACCTCCATCTCCCAGGTTCAAGCAATTCTCCTGCCTCAGCCTCCCGAGTAGCTGAGATTACAGGCAAGCGCCACCCGGCCCAGCTAATTTTTTGTATTTTTAGTAGAGATGGCATTTCACCACGTTGGCCAGGCTACTCCTGACCTCAGATGATCTGCCCACCTCGGCCTCCCAAAGTACTGGGATTATAGGCGTGAGCCATGGTGCCTGGCTCCATTAAAAAGTTTTCTAAGAGTATAGGTAAATATGTCTGTTCCTCACAGTGGCTTACACTGAAGAAAAAGATATGAGGTTTACAGGATTCCCCCCAAGCTAGGTTCAATCCTAGCTTCACCACTAATTAGTCATGTGACCTTCCCCCTTGTTCCCAAGCCAGGGGTTGACACATTGCAGCCCATGGGCCAAATCTGGCCTGGTACCTGTTTTTGTAAATAAAATTTTTTTCTTTTTTCTTTTTTTTTGAGACAAAGTCTCACTCTGTTGCCCAGGCTGGAGTGCAATGGTGCAATCTTGGCTCACTGCAATCTCTGCCTCCTGGGTTCAAGTGATTCTCCTGCCTCTGCCTCCTGAGTAGCTGGGATTACAGGCACCCACCACCACTACTGGCTAATTTTTGTATTTTTAGTAGAGACAGTGTTTCACCAGGTTGGCCAGGCTGGTCTTGAACTCCTGACCTCAGGTGATCCATCTGCCTCGGCCTCTCAAAGTGCTGGGATTACAGGCATGAGCCACCGTGCCCAGCCGTAAATAAAATTTTATTAGACATCAGTATACTCACTCATTTACATTTTGTCTATGGCTGCGTTTGTGCTACAATGGCAAAGCTGAGTAGTTGTGACAGAGACCCTGTGGTCCACAAAGCTAACTACTATCTGTCCGTTTACAACATTTGCCACTCCTGATCTAAGCAAGTAGCTTCACTTCAGTAAACTTCAGTTTTCTCACAGGTAAATTAGGGTCAAACCAGTAACTACTTAAAAGGAGTTTCACAAAAATTAAATGACATAACATTTATGAAATACTTAACATTGTACTTGCCACATGGTAAGTAGTCAGTAAAGGATACTGTAATGATCACATACTTTTATCTTCTCCCTGTCTCAGTAGAAAGGACACTTCTCTCCTTTTATTCAAGGGCAATCATTGACCTCTATTTCTGATCCTGTTCTCTCTCATCTTATTTATTTTTTTTGAGTCCCAGTTTTGTTGTGTTGCCCAGGCTGGAGTGCAGTGGTGTGATCATAGCTCATTGAAGCCTTGAACTCCTGTGCTTGAGTGATCCTCCTGCTTCCGCCTCCCGAGTCACTGGGACTACAGGCATGTGCCACCATAACTGGCTAATTTTTATATTTTTTGTAGAGACAGGCTCTTGCTATGTTGCCCAGTCTGGTCAAGAATTCTTGGCTCCAAGTGACCCTCCTCTCCCGCTTCAGCCTCCCAAAGTGTTGGGATTACAGGCATGAGCCACTGCGCCTGGTCTCTACCATTTTATATAACATTCATTGAACACTTGCTGTATGCCATGCATTGTTGCAGATGCTGAGAATATAAAGATTAACAAAACAGAAACCCTATCAGCCTTTATGTCTCTATCAACTTCCTTCCTTCTCTTTGCCGTTCACCTCTTTCTGCACCTTCTCTTCACACTCATTCTGATCCTAACCCTCTACACGTCTACTGCTCACATTAAGGTGACCCATGATGGTCTGGAAGTGGCTCCTGTTACCTGACCTCCCAGCAGGAGCACTTGGTATTGTCAACTGCCCCTTCCTTCTTGAAGTCTTTGTCTTCTGAGATACCACAACTTCTTGGTTTTTGTCTTCCCTCTCTGACTATTCCTTTTCCAGTAGTCCTTACCCACGTGGTGCTTAAATGTGGGTGTTCCTAAGGGCTTCGTCCTGGGCCCTCTTCTTCCTCTAACCTCTCTTCCTAAGAATCTCATCTATTTCAAAAGCCTCAATTACCATGAATGCAAATGGCTCCCACACTAAACATCTATTTCAGACTTCCCTTCCGAGGTGTGGATGAGCTCCTCTAGTCTACTAGAGACACCCTCTGCTGGATGTTTCTCAGGTTCTCAGGCCCCACACAGCCAGCACATCACCTTTTCCTTCCCACTCCCAGTCTGTTCCACCTCTTTTTTTTTTTTTTTACCATATAGGTAAATATACATAGATCATCATCTACTTTTTTTTGTTTGTTTGTTTGTTTTGAGACGGAGTCTCACTCTGTCACCCAGGCTGGAGTGCAGTAGTATGATCTCAGCTCACTGCGCCTCTGCCTCCTGGGTTCAAGCAATTCTCCTGCCCCAGTCTCCTGAGTGGCTGGGATTACAGGTGCAAGTCACCATGCCCAGCTAATTTTTGTTTTTGGTAGAGACAGGGTTTCACCATGTTGGCCATGCTGGTCTTGAACTCCTGACCTCCGGTGATCTACCCACTTCGGCTTCCCAAAGTGCTGGGATCACAGGCAAGAGCCACCATGCCCAGCCCATCATCTACTGCTTTGTTCAAACCATAGACTGGAAGTCATCCTGAACACCAGACTCTCCACATCCAACCTGTCATTAAGTACTCTCAGTTCTACCTCCTGCCAAATTTAGTAACGTTCCCCTTCATCCCGACTGACCCTTTTCTAGTCTAGCTACCAGGCTCTGGTACCTGGGGTAAAAGTAACTGCACAAATCATCTCCTAATATGCATTCTTCCCTTCTCCCAGGTCATTCTCCATTCACCAGGTGATGGTCAAAAACACAAATCTGATGTCACACCCTGCTTAATACTTGCCAATGGCTTCCCATTGTTTTGGATAAAGACAGAAATTCTTAACAAAGCCTTAAAGCCCCTACATGACCCATCCTGTTTACCCCTCCAGTCTTATTCTGTTAGTCCTCTCCCAGTTCCCTACATCCCAAACATAATGGATTTCTGTGAATTCTTCCCAAGTGCCACTGTCTTCCCCACGTCTACACGTGTTTCTCATGGGCAGCTTCCTCAGCCTACAAAGCCATTGTGTCAGGGAGGCCTCTCCCGACTCTCCAGACCAGGTAAGCTCTCTTGTTTTGTACTCTGTTGGTACCTTGCTCTTGCTCTGCTGTTACACGGAGTAGACTTTTCCAATGTCTGTGTCCTCCATGCTTCTATAACCTCCATGAGGACGTGCTCCATGACTGTCTTATCCACCACGGTATCTCTGGATACCTGGTACATCATATAGGCACTCAGTAAATACTTGCTGGATAGGTGAGTGGATAAACGCGCTAGCTCCCATCCTTGGCCTAAGAACAAGCATGCTTAAGCCTCTCCCAATTATCTCCTCCTTTTGCTACAGCTCTTGTTCTCTTTTCCTTCATTGACAAGGATCTGGGAAAAGTGGTCTCACCTACCATTTGGATTTCACTTTAGAATTCATCTTTCAGTGCTCTATCATGTCTCCCATTCCCACACTCCATTGATTGTCTGAGACAAGCAATGGTTGAATCCAGTGCCAGGTCCAATGAGCACCTCAAAGTTTATTCTTCTAATTGATCTCTGTGACATGTGACGCCATCAGTTAGAAACTCCTGCTCTGGCTCCTGTGGCATCCTCTCTTCTGGTTCCCTTCCTGTGTCTCTGATTATTTATTTTTGTTCTATTTCTACTCAGCCCTCAAATGTTGGTGTCCACCAGACTCTGTCCTTAGTTCTTTCCTCTCTAAGAGTATCTCCTGTCCCCAGCAGATCTCATCTATTCCTCCTAGCCACAAGGAAGTCTTCTAGCTTTTTGTCTTCAATCCTGACATCCCTCCTAAACTACAGGTTTCCATTATCTGTACTTCTCTACCTGGACACCAACAAAACTCAGATACCATGTCTACAACTTAGTCAATTATCCTTGCAGCATCCAAACTCACTCTTTCTTTTTTCTTTTTTTTTTGAGACGGAGTTTCGCTCTTATTACCCAGGCTGGAGTGCAATGGCGCAATCTCGGCTCACCGCAACCTCCGTCTCCTGGGTTCAGGCAATTCTCCTGCCTCAGCCCCCTGAGTCGCTGGGATTACAGGCACGCGCCACCATGCCCAGCTAATTTTTTTCTGTATTTTTAGTAGAGACGGGGTTTCACCATGTTGACCAGGATGGTCTCGATCTCTTGACCTCGTGATCCACCCGCCTCGGCCTCCCAAAGTACTGGGATTACAGGCTTGAGCCACCGCGCTGGGCCTCACTCTTTCTTTTATTGTTCTGTCTTGGTAAGATAATGACCTATTCTACTCTGTTGTCAAACCTCTCAAATTAGTCACTAAGTTATTTCTATTCTTTCTTGCCTCCTAAATATTTCTCAAACCCTTCCCTACTCCTGTTCATCGCCATTAGCATGTTCTCTCATCATCTTTTTCCTGGACTATTATAATGGCTTCCTAACAGGTCTCTTTACCTATATTTGCCACATTTCTGCCAATATCTTTCTGTAACACAAATCTAATCCAGTTATACTTTCCTTCTTAAAACAGGCTTCAACAACTCCCCATTGCTTGCAAAATAATGTCCAAACTCTTGGCTTCTGAGGCTCTCACCCTGACTCTCCTCCCACTTTCCCTCAACAAGCATCCTATGCTCTTGCCATAGCAATTACTCAACGTTTCTCAAATGTGCCATCCTTTTTCAGGCCTCTGAGTCTTTGTATATACTGTATCCTTTGTCAGGAATAACTCTTTCTCTTATGCCTTTTTGGTAAACTATTACTTTTTTTTTTTTTTAAGACGGAGTTTCACTCTTGTTGCCCAGGCTGGAGTACAATGGCGCAGTCTCGGCTCACTGCAACCTCCGCCTCCTGGGTTCAAGCAATTCTCCTGCCTCACCCTCCTGAGTAGCTGGGATTACAGGCATGCACCACCATGCCTGGCTAATTTTGTATTTTTAGTAGAGACAGGGTTTCTCCATGTTGATCAGGGTGGTCTTGAACTCCCAACCTCAGGTGGCCCACCCACTTTGTCCTCCCAAAGTGCTGGGATTACAGACGTGAGCCACCACACCCAGCTAAACTATTATTCTTTAAGAGTCATCTCCTTGGGAAATCATCACTGAATTACCAGGCAAGCTCTCATCCCAAGCTCCCTTTATGACCTCTCCATTTTGGGTCCTGCAATCTTTCTGCTCAAACTCTGGGCTCACACCCAGGTTCTTTCCATCTCCATATACTTTCCTTTGTTTGAACCTTTGCCTGTGTAGGTTCCATTTTCAAGGAATCGGTTAACATCAATGAATTCCTTTAAGTTTCTTGGCTCCCTCCAGGAAGATTTCCTTAGACCAGCTTAGTTGGTCCTACTTGTTCTCCCATAACCCCCAATACCTCCCACTTAAAATCACTTACTATGTTTTACTATTACTGCTTAATTATCTGACCACCTGGCTTGACTGACAGATTGGCTAGCTCATCCTCCATCTCTGGGTCCAGCAGAGTGCTGAACCCTGACTGAATGAGCGTGTCTGTGTAACTGTCTTCCTCGCTTGACTGTGGGCTCCCTAAGGGTAGGAACTGTCTGATTCATTTGTGCCTGATATTAGTTGCGGGGAGGGCAGTCAGTAAAACCTTTGATAAATGAACAAATGGTATCATATGTGGCATCTATCACATTTGCCCTCAAATTCCCTATGTGCCACAGGTCTGATGTGGCATGTCATTCCTTGAGTTCCATCTTATAAGACACTCCGGCAAGTATCCACATTGGCTTGGCTTTATTCAGCGTCGTTCTTTCCTCAGTCCTTTGGGCAGAAAAACATCAATATCCTAAACTTGTGCAAGAATCATCTGGGGAACAACAGGCTGGATCTTGGATTTTCTTGATTTCCAAAGCTCTTGAAGCTGTGGCACCAAACCTAACCACTTACCGCTTGAGAGGCCATCATTTCATTTATACTCTGTTCATACTGCTCTGCCAAAATGGCAAGTTTTCTTGTCTGCTCATCTTTCAGTGTCTTTAAGATTGTTTTGTGCTCATTCTTTGGAGTAACTTCCAACTGGTGATTCTTGAGTGCTTTATACTGTTTGGTCTGTACTTTGCAAGTGTCCTGAAACTGTTTTTTAATTTGCATTTCCATGGCCTGGGTAGAAAAAATGACAAAGGAAAAATAAAGACACATCAGTAAAAACGGAAAGCTTTCAACCATAACGATATAATACAAGTGCTGAGACCATCTGTTTTTTGGTGCAGTGACCCCTGTTGCTAATCATTAAAAATGAAGCAGCATGTATGACACAGACAAGAGTTAAACCTACCTACACTTTTGGTTTTATAGTGAATGAATATAAGTAATTTTGAATTTACAAACAGCTTCAAAGAAAATATGGATTGTCATAAGGGGATGAGGACTCTAAGCAGATTGAGGGATATTATGAAGCCTGGCTTGTTGAAAGGGGACAATTCTTTTCATGCTTTCCTAGTCAGAGTCTTCAGTGTCTCCCATTGTTCAATGTTTTTTTTCCTTATTTTTGTTTTTATATTTCACCCTGTTTCCAAGTGAGAGAGGGGATAGCATTATATAAGCCAGCTCTCACTGCTCTGGTTTATAGCAATTTCTTATCAACTCCATAAAGGAGAACATATGGATAGTACCTCATATCCTAACCCATTTCCACTGAATGTCAGTGTAAACTGAAAGAGAAAAGTGTTTTACAGTTTTTCCCCCCCCATTAAGAGGTTGCGCTTGCATGTAGCAATATCAAATGTGCATTTGGGCAAGGAGAAGGTAGAGTATATAATTTTAAGCCCAGAAGGCATTCCATCAGGTTGCCCATAGTCATGTATGCACTTCATGAACACTCTGAGGACTTATGGTGATAGAAATCACTGCTTAGCTTAGGACTTCACTGAAGAGATGCAGAGCCAGTGTGGTCAAGGTTGGCCTCATGTCTGTGCCAACACTGACAATGTCCTCACTGATATATAGCAATGGCTTAGTATGTGGAGCTTGTTAATTAGCAGTCAGCTAAAATTAGCTGGAAGCAGTGAGGGCCAAAGGAGTTCCTCTGTATCTCTGCCTCTCTAGTGCAGAAGTGGTAAATGCCTGGCAATTGTAGATTCGTTCCGATGACCATGACAGACATCACTAATAAATGACATTCTTTCCTCCTAAACTTGGATGTGGCTTTAGAGTCTTTCTCAATACAGCAGTGCTCAAAGTACCTAAGGCCAATATAACTTCCTTATTTCCTGGGATTAGAACTATAAACTGCTATTAGTCCAGTTTTGAAGAGGGCAGGTCATGAAGCGCTCAGAGAAATTCCATAATGGACATGATGACAAACTGATAGACAATGTAGTAGAATCATAGTTTCCAAACCAGCCTGCCACATCTCTTTTTTAGGAGCTTAAATACAGACTCTGTGCTTTACAACTGGAGATTCTGATGCAATAGATGTGGGGCACAGAAATTTTGAGTCTGAAAAGTTGCTCAGGTGACTCTGACACTTCCAGTATAGAAACCATTGATCTGGTCCAACACTGTCCAGAAGCAAACAGGGAAATGCTATCTCCTCTTACCTTTAAGTTTTTTGGCTGTTGCCGAAGTTCCATGACATGCTTTCTGTGCAGTTCCCTTTCTCGCCTCTTATTGTACTCCAGCTGGTTTTCCAGTTCAGTCTGGTGCTGTAAACGGATCAGATCCATGCGTAGCTTCTGTAACGTGTGCAGCTGCCTGTACTCTAGCTCTCGGGTGGACTCGTCATGCCGGATCAGCATGGCATGCTCCATCTCCTTCTGGGTCCTCTTTTTATTTAGTTCCTGCATCCAGGAACAAAAGATAAATGGAGAGAGGTGAATGGAGATGAATTGGAAGGAATGCACAACTAAATGAGGGATGGCAAGGAATGCCACTGCTAACCACTTCTCTCTCTCTCTCTCTCTTTTTTTGAGACAGAGTCTCGCTCTGTCCCCAGGTGCCAGGCTGGAGTACAGTGATGTGATCTTGGCCCACTACAACCTCTGCCTCCTAGGTTCAAGCGATTCTCCTGCCTCAGCCTCCCGAGTAGCTGGGACTACAGGCGTGTGCCACTATGCCCAGCTAATTTTTGTATTTTAGTAGAGACAGGGTTTCACCATGTTGGCCAGGATGATCTCAATCTCTTGACCTTGTGATCCACCTGCCTCGGCCTCCCAAAGTGCTGGGATTACAGGCATGAGCCACTGCGCCTGGCCCGCCCCTATCTCTTAATTAAACCCATTAGTGTTTGGCAGCAGGACTTAATGAAATGAAATGAAATTAACAATCTCTTGAGCTTTAGGCTCTGTTCCTGGGTCCACCACTTACAAAATGGGCAACTTCACAGCAATCACAACTGTGCTATCTGTAAAATGGGATTCATTCTACTTGACCCCCTCTTACCTCACAGAGCTGCTGTGAACCTTAGTTAGGTGATGTGCTAGCATAGGTCTTCACAAATGTTTCTCCAGTGAAGCTAGTGGTTCTACACCCTGGCTGCCCATAAAAATCATGTGAGGAAACTTTTCAAACACAAGATGCTTGAATCTCACAGGCTGAAATTCTCGTAACTGTCTGGGGTGGGATCCTGATGTCAGTGTTGGTAAGAGTTCTCGGCTGGGCGCGGTGGCTCACGCCTATAATCCCAGCACTTTGGGAGGCCGAGGTGGGTGGATCACGAGGTCAAGAGATCGAGATTGTCCTGGTCAACATGGTGAAACCCCGTCTCTACCAAAAATACAAAAATTAGCTGGGCATGGTGGTGCACCCCTGTAGTCCCAGCTTCTCGGGAGGCTGAGGCAGGAGAATGGCTTGAACCCAGGAGGCGGAGGTTGCGGTGAGCCGAGGGCGCCATTGCACTCCAGCCTGGGTAACGAGAGCGAAACTCCGTCTCAAAAAAAAAAAAAGAGTTCTCCAGGTGGTTCCGATATGCAATCAAGATTGAGAATTAAACTGATAATATCTGCAATAGTCTTAGCTTTCTGGGAAATACGCTGTTTTTGCACAAATCAGAAGTAGGTCAATTATCTATTTTTTAAAATCTCAGAGTTCAAGACATGCCGGGAAAAAAACAGATGAGATCTGTCCCTTTTCATCTTCTGTATTACAGTCTGTTTGATCATTTATAGATCCAATCACTCTGTTCTTTTCAGTGCTACTCCTTTCTTTCTTTCTTTGTTGTTGAAGGAAGAAAGGAAAGCAAACTAGAAAGGGGAAGTTGGTGAAAACTTTTCATTCACCAATTGAAGAATATTTCCGAAACAGCACTATATATGAAGATCTGAACAATGTACTCTCAGTACATAAAAATGTTTATTAAACCATGACTTTTGTGCTCAACTCACTGACACTCCATTAGGGAAGTGCACTAGACATTTATTGAAGTATATACTCTGCTCAAAGCTCACTGAATCAGATTTAGATACGTGGCCCAACCTGGGCCAATTTATTTTCTCTACTAGGAATTTGGAATTGACATTCAGAACCAGTTAATCTCTATGTGTGGCTGGAATTGAGGCATATAAAAACCACATATGTGGTAGTCATCTGTTTCTATGAGGGCTGAGGATTAGAGAAAGCTAGGCTTCAGAGCAAGAAGAAATGAAAAAGAGAGAAGTGAAGGGAATATACTGATGCCTAAGTTGCTTACTGCTTCTAAGACCTCCTGTAAGTCCAGCTGTATTACTGCTATTCGATTTTATGAGACATTCCGATATGTCTGTTGTAATTTCCCTGGTTTTGGCTTAAGCTAGCTCAAATAAATTTCAGTTAATATGCAAACAAAAAACCTTTAATTAATACAGGGACATAATTGTTTTTATTTTTTATTTTGGTAGAGATGGGGTCTCACTATGTTGCCCAGGTTGGTCTCAAACTTCTGGACTCAAGCCATCCTCCCATCCCAAAGTGCTGGGATTACAGGCATGCTCAGCCAGGAAATGTTTTATGTGCAAATTAAAAAAAAAAAAGACCAAGGATGGGTAAGTGATGAACGCTATAAAAGGGTAAAGATTTTACACTGCAAAAAGCGTGGTATTATTATTACTATTTTTGAGAAGGAGTTTGGCTCTTGCCCAGGCTGGAGTGCAGTGGCATGATCTCAGCTCACAGCAACCTCCACCTCCTGGGTTCAAGTGATTCTCCTGCCTCAGTCTCCTGAGTAGCTGGGATTACAGTCATGCACCACCACACCTGGCTAATTTTGTATTTTTAGTAGAGATGGGGTTTATCCATATTGGTCAGGCTGGTCTCAAACTCCCAACTTCAGGTGATCTGCCCACCTCAGCCTCCCAAAGTGCTGGGATTACAGGCATGAACCATTACTATTAGTGGTAATAGTGGACTATTACCACTAATAGTAATACTAGTGGTATTACTATTAACAAGGTCAAGGAAAGGAGAAAGCTTTGAGCTTTACTTTATTTTTATTTATTTATATTTGAGATGGAGTTTCGCTTTTGTTGCCCAGGTTAGAGTACAATGGTGAGATCTCAGCTCACTGCAACTTCCGCCTCCTGGGATCAAGCGATTCCCCTGCCTCAGCCTCCCGAGTAGCTGGGATTATAGGTGCCCACTACCACACCTGTCTAATTTTTGTATTTTTAGTAGAGATGGGGTTTCACCATGTTGGCCAGGCTGGTCTGAAACTCCTGACCGCAAGTGATCCACCTGCCTCGGCCTCCCAAAGTGCTGGGATTATAGACCCCTGTGCCCTGGCCTGAGCTGCACTTTAAATTAGAACCACAGAATATCTCTTTTCTCTGATGGCATCCTCTACGGGAGAAAATGCAAGTTATTTATTTTAATAGATATATCAATAACATTTCTCTACTGGCATGATTAGAAATATCTTGCACACTTGGGCCCTCTATTGATTTGAAGAGAAGTCCTTTTAATAGCATAGCATCTAGTACCAGAGCACAGTCACCAATCATTCACTCATTTATTCAACAAATAGTTGCTGAGCACTTACTATGTGTTGGGCACTGTTGTAGGAGCTAGGAATAGAACAGTGAACACATACACCCTGTCAGGGATCTTACAAGGAGAAAAAAACAAAAGTATAAATGCAATTTAATTTTTTTTTAAGGAATAAAAAATAACCTTCTAGAGTAACTCTCCCAATCTCCTCCTGTGTTTTCCTTTGTTTTATTTTTTCTCTTTAGCTAGCCCATCAAATTTCTTTTTTACAAATCAGTAACTGGCCCCTAGGTGGCACCAAAGGACAGAGAGCCCTTCCCACAGATGAAAGTTCTCCCAGGCCAACCACCCAGACCAAGCCAAGGAAAGCCCTTTACGAGAGCTTTCATTGAGGTCCAGGAGTCCCAATACTGGATATTTATCCATCCCCACATTTTCCTAAATTGAGAAGTGCAAAGTGAGTCTGAGCTGCCAGGAGCCCTGAAACTCGTGGGCTCCTGACACAAAGCAAGCAAACACCTTCAGAAGAAATCAAGTGCTTCTCTGCATGCTTAATGAAATGCTTCATGATATTGTCCACAAAATACCTACATCTGAATTACCTGTGTTACAAGCAGCTGGTCTTTACAATAAGTTACTCAGCTAATTCTGATACATATGAAAGTTTGAGAGTCAATGGAAAAGTGCTCGGGGTGTGAGTCAGTTTTAGCTCCTCTGTAAATCATTATGTATGGCTTGGGACAAGTCTCTCAATCTACATTTCAGGTGTAAAGTGAGGATGGCTGCACCCATTGTGAACTATCATACTTGTAAGGATAACATGAAAGACCATAAGAAAGTGTTTCAGAATACATAAATATGTCATTATTTTTCAGTATTCAGAAGTGAATATCTGGCATATAATATCTTAAATCTAGTTTTTATAATCTATTAGAAGAGTAAGAAAAACATGATACTAAAATAGTTTTTCTGCTACAAGTTGTTCCCTTTACCTTTAATTTGTACATCTGAGTTGCTGAGGTATAAGATGATAGGCTACCTTTAATATTTGAGACATGGGGGAAAAATTATTCAGATTATTATGAGGCCAATGCTGTGCCTACCTAATAAGGTATAATATGCTTTCTATTTTTAAAAGTTATTCCATACATCTCATTCAATCCAAATTGCCACCCTATGAGGTGCTAAGACTATAAGAATGTACCCCTTTTATATGTGTTAGTAGGCATTTGGGAGTTGAGGGACTAACATAAGTTTATGTAACTTCTATAAAAAGAACTGAGGCTAAAACTTGGGTATTTAGCTTCTCAGTATTTTCCATTAGAAATGTTCCAATAATTGAGGCCTGGCGCAGTGGCTCACACCTGTAATCCCAGTACTTTGGGAGGCCAACGCAGGTAAATCAGCTGAGGTCAAGAGTTCGAGACCAGCTTGGCCAACGTGGTTAAACCCTATCTCTACTGAAAATACAAAATTAGCCAGGTGTAGTGTCGCATGCCTGTAATCCCAGTTACTTGGGAGGCTGAGGCAGGAGAATTGCTTGAACCCGGGAGGTGGAGGTTGCAGTGAGCCGAGATTGCACCATTGCATTCCATCCTGGGCAACAAGAGCGAAACTCTGTCTCAAAAAAAGAAAAAAGAAAAATACAAATGTTCTAATAAATTACCTATTTTCCTGTTTTGTACTTTTTCAGTCTGTGATAAAATATTTTGAAGAATTCTTTGCTCTGGCTAGACATGATACAATGTTGCTTTATTTGTACAAATGACACAATATACACACTAGAGTCCCATCATGTGCACCATTAGCTGACACAAATTCAATAAAATTAAGTACATGGGTGGGCAAATTAAGTACATGGGTGGGCAGAAATGACCTGTAT